AGACTCGCTTGAGCCCAGGAGTTGGAGGTTGCTGTGAGCTGTAATGCCACAGCACTCTACCCAGGGGGACAGCTTGAGGCTCTGTCTCAAAAAAAAACTGGAAAGATTAAAAGCTTGGTCTTTGGAAGGATATGAGTTGATTTGTCCAATTCTTAAATGCCAAGAGACTTTTCAGTTTGGGAAAAGCAAGTATTTTTCCTGGTTGCTTGCCTGATAACTTATGTTACTTTCATTGGACTGCTGGGAATATTTTTTTTTTTGGAGACAGAGTCTCATTTTGTCACCCTCGGGAAAGTGCTGTGACGTCCCAGCTCACAGCAACCTCCAACTTTAGGCTTAAGTGATTCTCTTGCCTCAGCCTCCCAAATAGCTGGGACTACCACCCACCACAACAGCTGGCTATTTTTAGGTTGTAGTTGTCACTGTTATTTGGCGGGCCCAGACTGGGTTTGAACCCGCCAGCTCTGGTGTATGTGACTGGTGCCCTAGCTACTGAGCTACAGGTGCTGAGCTGCCCGGCTATTTTTAGAGATGAGTTCTTGCTCTGGCCCAGACTGGTCTAGAACCTGTGAACTCAGGCAATCCACGCACCTCGGCCTCCCAGATGCTGGGATAACAGGCGTGAGCCACCACAGCGGCCTAGTATTTTCAATTATAGAAAAGCCTTGTTATAAAATGTTCTTCTTTCGTTAGGTGTCTCAACCTCCTGGCACAACATCCTTTTCCTTGCCTGATGACTGGGACAACAGAACCTCATATTTGCACTCTCCCTTCTCTACTGGACGGAGTTGTATTCCCCTCCATGGTTTGTATTTTGTATTATCATTATCATTATTACTATTATTATAACAGGTGAACTTATACTAGCTTTTTGTTATAGATCAGCAGTCCCCAACCTTTTTGGCACCAGGGACTAGTTTCATGGCAGATAATTTTCCCACTGGGCTGTTGGGGGATGATTTCAGGATGATTCAAGTGCATTACATCTCTACCATAGATGCTGAGGCATTATATTCTCATATGTAGCATGCAACCTAGATCCCTTGAATGCAGTTAACAGTAGTAATGCCACCACTATTGACAGGAGGTGGAGCTCAGGCGGTGATACAGGCAATGGGGAGCAGCTGTAAATACAGATGAAGCTTTGCTAGCCAATCACTTACTTCTTGCTATGTGGCCCAGTTCCTAACAGGCCATGGACCAGTATAGATCCGCAGCTTTGGGATGGGGACTGCAGCTATAGATGATCAGATATTATTACAAAGGACCTTATTCTTAAATGTAGGATACAGGTTACATATTTTTTAAATTGGGATGGAATATTTGAAGGTTTATAAATGCAAAGGAGGGCTGGGCACAGTGGCTCAGGCCTATAATTCTAGCCCTCTGGGAGGCTGAGGTGAATGGATTGTTTGAGCTCAGGAATTCGAGACTAGCCTGAGCAAGAAAGAGTAAGACCTCATCTTTAAAAACTGGAAAAAGACCTTGGCATAAATGCAAAGGAAATAGAGGAAAACTTTCTATCCATTACTTTCAGGGACGAAAAGGTTAGTTCCATCCCAACTGATAATTAAACAACAAGCATTTAGGTCAGATGCTGAGTCACGAGCTCCCTTGTTGTGGAGGATCTTAAAGATACTCTGTGGGTGAAAACTGCCTCCTTTTCCCCTTGTCTATCCTGCGAGTTCTGCTGAAAACTACAAGTGGAATCCTTATTCTTAGTCATACCATCTCAGTGTACATCTAGTAATATGGCCAGAGTTTCTTGATCCACTAAGGTGGTTCATGCCCTGGTCCATCAGTTTGTTTCTGTGCTTTCTATTAAAAGCCATCAAGACAGAGCTATAATTTCTTCATTAGCAATAAGTTAAATGTGAAAGGGATTTAGTGTGGGATTAATACTTCCCTGGTAATCAGAGGACTTAGGAAGTCTAGTTTGGGTTGTGTTATTTCATGGCCTTCAACACATTAAATAAATCTAACTTCAACTGAAAGTAACTTAAGAAGGAGAGGGTGACATATGAGGGATAGTCTTTTTTCCATTTATTTCAAAGGTCCAAATGTGAATATGAAACACTCTTTGGTCATCATTTTGACTCAGTGTGGTCTTTAACAGGTATTAGTCCAGAAGTGAATGAACTGTTGATGGAAGCCCAGTTGCTCCAGGTATCTCTTCCTGAAATTCAGGAACTTTACCAGACTTTACTTGCAAAGCCAAGCCCTGCTCAGCAGACTGACCGAAGCTCACCAGTTAGACCCAGCAGTGAGAAGGTGAGTTTTTCAAAGGCTGCTGAGGAAAATAAAATCTAGGAATGGGGAGGGAGCATATGCTTTTTAGTGTCATTCCATCTAAATAGTTTGGTGAATCAGATGGTATTTTTGATCCAGAAAAGAGTGTAAACCACCTCACAACTGTTCCCAGAGCTGTCAGGGAGATGACAGGTACTGGGCATCATCTGCTATAGTTTGGGCTCACTGTCTATATCTTGATCCTATTTAAAGTCACTATGCAAAATTATTGTTTTCTTTTCAGAAGATTGCTCTTCATCATTCCCACGTAATAATAGTGCAAAGTAAGATTAATTTTTCCCCATCAGAAAAATGCTGTATAGATGAAAATGTGGTAGAATATGTGGAAAGACCTTTTGGAATAAAGCTTTCAAAAATCAAAGGTATTCCTAGAGTCAGCATTTTAACAAATGGTTTCTTTTACTTTTGCAAACCCAGGAAGACCATTAATGTGAAAACTGGATGATAAGGCTCTGCGCCTGTGGCTCAGGTGGCTAAGGCGCCAGCCACATACACCCAAGGTAGCGGGTTCAAATCCAGCCCGGGCCCGCCAAACAACAATGACGGCTGCAACCAAAAAGTAGCCGGGCATTGTGGCAGGCACCTGTGGTCCCAGCTACTCAGGAGGCTGAGACAGGAGACCCCCTTGAGCCCGGGAATTGGAGGTTGCTGTGAGCTGTGATGGCACGGCACTCTGCCTAGGGGGACAGCTTGAGGCTCCTGTCTCAATAAAAGAAAAGAAAAGAAAAGAAAACTGGATGATAAGACAGGATACACATTTTGAATGCTGACTTACTTGAAGGAAACACCATAATATCGGCTTAGCGCCTGTGGCTCAAGTGGCTAAGGCGCCAGCCACATACACC